TTTACCCTTTTCATTGTATGCGTCCATGATTACACATGAAAATAATTTTTCCATTATTTTCGATAGCATATGCATAAAAGAGCAAACATGCATCATGAAACGTCACTGAAATAATTGTCTCACTGCCTATATCCTAATTAAGAGCACTAAATCGGGAGTCAGAAACCTGAGTTGTATGGGCTAATTATTTATCTCCTCTGAGCTCCATTATTCTTTTCTGCAAATCGAAGGTTTTAGCTTAATGCTCAGTAGCATCCTTCTTGTCCCCACATTCTCTGACATACAAGGAAAGATATTTGTTTACTGCCAGCTTTGTTTGAAAAAGCAAATTAAGGAGGCTCAGACCATGACTTATCCTACCTTATCCGGCTGTTTATCTTATATAAGCATCCACTCTGCATGTTATAAATGATACAGAGGAAGCCTTTCTGTGCCCAGCTCACCACCAAGTATCTAGAATGTCCCCTCTCTGTGGAAAATGCCTCCTGTTTTACTTCTTGGTTCACAATGTTTTTCTTTAAGGTTGCCTATGAGTCTAAACTTCATTGGACTCTTAATGTTACATAACAAGAAGCTGTTTTCATAACACCTTTTCATACTGTAGGACAAATTAGATTTTGTTTAAAAACATGAAACACTATGAACACTGAATAATTGTTTGCAGACAAGGAAATAGGAAGACTCGGAATGGGTAAGAGAAACCTCATATTTGAGTCAAGTCGGAGATTGAGAGTGTCAAGAAACTCTGAGAATATATAGATGTCAAATTATAATGAACACTTGAAAATTATATAATTGTATTAACCAGTTACCCCAATAAACTTAATTAAAAAAAAAAGAAAGAAACTCTGCACCACTTGCTCAAATATTCTAAAGAAATAATTAATGCAGTCTAAATTTAAGTCTAAGTTTCCAATGGTGCTCTCCAAATGCTTTAAATTATTAGGGCAAACCAAATGATATTGTCTGTATTTGGCCACTTTTGACTTATAAAATAGCGATTTTGTGTCATTCAGCCTAATAATTTAAAGTGTTTGAGGATTACATTGCAGGCAAACATCTCAAAAGACTGAAGTATGACTGGAGTGGAAATTGAATCCCTTAGAAAAACTAGGTAGGACATCAATAAAGAATGATTTTTATCAGCGGCTTACAAAAATCGGTTGACTTTTTAAAAATTAATTCATATGTGGCAGTTTGTGAATCATAGATGTACTCATAAGAGCTTTATTGCAACTTCCCAGAAATCCATTAATTGTTAAAACTCCAAACTCTATTGTTTAAGTAAAAAATATTACCAAAATACACAGTTTGGTTATGTTTTTCGTTTTGCTTTATTTTTAATGGTGAAGCCACTCGTAAACAGAAAATACACTAGGTGTAGATTATCAGACCTTCAGACCAAGCATCATCCCAGATGTATTGTGGGAACTGATCAGCAATGGGAAAACAGAAAAATGCTCTTCTTAAGCTAAAGCCGTAGGGACAGGTTACCTAGTAACCACGGAATGATTAAGTTCTATTCACAGAGACTTGTCTTAATTGAACGGAAAAGTTTAAAGAACACAGTTTAAAGAAACTGGAGCGATGGAGGACTATGACAGTTTTTAGTGGGCCTAATATCTCCATTTCAGCAGCCTTCACTAAAAGGATCACAGTATGGATTAATCTTTTGTTAGTAAGGAGAAGCCAGATAAGCTACCTACAGAGTCATAATTTGGTGCTCTTTTCAACTGTAGAAAAAAACAAAAATAAAATGTGGCATGGAGCATATTCAAAAGTGCAGTACAAACTCTGTGTGGTGTTAGAGTTCTGAGAATAATCATTTTCTATGGACAAGATTGTATTTGTATTCAGATATCAAAGTTCTATTCCTTTAAGAAAACTCCAAATGGTCATTTGGGGTTAGTTTATTCTATTATCGCTCTTTTGTCTATCTGTACTTTTTACCTACCTATTAGTCTCATATTGCTTTATAGAGAATTATGGTCTTTGGTGTTCTTTCCTGCTTTAGCAATAAAATTAAGAAAAATCAAATTATAGGTTGACAAGGATGAAGATTTCTTTTATCCATGACAGGCCTTTAGATAATACAGTAATTTCTTTCTCTGCTCGAAAAAGAACTTGGTTTATGTCACCAACTATAACTGGAGAAGCTCTACCATAGAGCTACTTTTCAAAGTGTTTCTCACTTCTTACATTGTTTGAGTAATATTTGTAGGTTAATATTGCCTCGGCTTGGCAGCCTGGGATTCGGCTTAAAACTTTCCTAAAGCCCCCTCTAGTGACAAAGGCAAATTAATCCATTACCTTAACATAACAAGCTAAAACCTCCAAGTTCTAAAGTTCCATGTCCTCGTTCAGTTATTAGATGAATCAATAGCTATAGCATTTTGATTGGAGAATGACTAAGAGAGAGCCAATAGCTTGGATTCTCAAGCATTTTTCAGTCACTAAAACCTAAAGAATTTTGTTTTGACACTGGGATCAACACAAAGTGCACACAGAACACAATCCTATTTCTTTTACTCTGCCCTGGTATGTATTCCTTAAAAAATCTTTCGTAAATGTCTTTCATTTTTGTTCTTCAGGAACCTTAAGGATTAAAGTATGTTCCTAATAACCCAACGAATGGAAAAAATTATCTTGGCCTTTACTTCTCATTGCTTTTACTGCATTTATTGGATAATTTTCATTGATGGTGCTAAGCATGTCCGAGCAGACAAATAGGAATTTTAAGAATTCTCTAAATTATGAAACTAAAGGATTCTCTATAATTATATAGACTAAATGCATATCTTAGAATACATTTAAAAATAGTACATAATAAAATATAATAAACTATATATTACGTGTATTAGGCTATATATTATGGTATGTATAATACATAGTTTATTTTATTTCTATCTCCATTTCCAAAGGGCTTACAGCTCATCTAGTAAAAAATAGGTCCAATTGAGACATTAAAATAAGACTAGATGAATAAAAATCTGCCTAATACAGGGAATTAAAGAGGTAAATAGAAAAATATGCTACAAATAGTTATTGCAACCGAGCACAGATCTTAGCTTTGAGCTTCCCGCCTGCTAAGGCAAAAAGAGAAACTCAATCTAAAAGTAACATACCAATTCATTAGAGAAGAAAGAGATCTTCCTTCTAAAATACAGAAATACAAGTTTCTAGACAGCAATAACAAAAATATACCATTAGAATAATTTCTTAACAATGAGGAATTCATGTTTAAATATTCGACAAAAGT